ACGGTGAGTCTACTTTAAGCCAACAAAATGTTTACAAGTGGTATAAACTCTTCCAAGAAGGCCGAGAAGACACCGACGACGAACCTCGTTCTGGACGCCCCAGCACATCAACAACTGATGAGAATGTTGAAGAAGTGAAGAAAATAGTGTTGGGAAATCGTCGAATTACCATTAGAGAAATTGCTGATGATATTGGCATCTCATTTGGTTCGTGCCAATCAATTTTGACGAGTGTTTTAGACATGAGACGTGTGTTAGCGAAGTTTGTTCCGAAATTGCTCAATTTCGACCAAAAGAAACGTCGCATGAGCATCGCCCAAGAGCTACTGAATGACGTCAACGATGATCCAGATTTACTCAACAGGGTTATAACAGGTGACGAAACATGGGTATACGGTTATGACGTCGAGACTAAGACTCAATCGTTCCAGTGGAGGCATTCTGGATCACCAAGACCAAAAAAAGCACGCCAAGTTCGATCAAATGTAAAGGTTTTGCTTACAGTTTTCTTTGACTGCAGGGGCGTGGTGCAACATGAGTTCTTGCCACAGGGTAGAACAGTAAATAAGAAATATTACCTGCAAGTTATGCGCAATTTGCGCCAAGCAATCCGCCAGAAACGTCCGAATTTGTGGAAAAATAAAAATTGGCTTTTGCACCATGATAACGCCCCTGCTCACACATCGTTGCTTGTGCGCGAATTTTTGGCTAAAACCAAAACAGTAACGATGCCACAGGCACCGTATTCCCCAGATCTGGCCCCCTGTGACTTCTTCTTGTTCCCAAAACTGAAGAAGCCCACGAAAGGACGGCGTTTTGCCACGATTGAGGAGATAAAGACGGCATCGAAGGATGAACTAAACAAGATCACAAAAAATGATTTTTTGAAATGCTTTGAGGATTGGAAAAAGCGTTGGTACAAGTGCATTATATCCGAGGAGGATTACTTTGAAGGAGATAAAATAAAAATTGATGAATAAATAAATATTTTTTGAGAAAAATAAAAATTCACCTTACTTTTTGATCACACCTCGTATGTCATTTGGTAGATATAAAATACTCTACCAAACGTTGTCTGTTATGTTTATGTTGACGTTAGTTAATAAAATTAATTATTACAGTATTTTGAACGTTTGTTCCAGAAATTTTTTCATAATTTATAGCAATCGAATCAAAGAAAATCAATTCGTATGTTAAAAAAAATTTTTTTTGATTTTCTGCTATAACTTTTTGAGGGATGGGTAAAAAGGAGTTACGCGGGTATATTCTACATTTGTAGGCTACAAGAAACACGTCTGTATAGGTTTTAGAAGTGTGCCTCTAAAAAAATTTTTCGATTCTACTTTTTCGAAAAATCAACGGTTCCGTGGATTTCCTCATATTTGTAATAGAAAACAGGATTAATTTGATATTGATTCCGCAACAGACTCAGGCAATGTTTCTCTAAGTCTTCCATAACAATATCAGCCAGTAGAGGAGAGATAGGTGAGCCCATCGGGCTTCCAAATATTTGTTTATAATAAATTTTGTTGAACACAAAATAAGTGTTATTATATAAAAATTTTATACCTTTCCGAATTTCTTCTATTGGAAACTCATAATTTTTAATTTGTTCATAACGTCTGTCCAATGATTACATCCAATTGGATTGCATCCAATGATATTAAAACATGATCGTTTGGAATAAAAATATCTTTTAATTTCTGTTTTAACTGTTCACTGTTTAAAATGTAAGAGTTATGTTTCTTTATAACTGTTTTAAGTGTACTATATAAGAATTTTGCTAATTTGTGAGTAGGGCTATTAATTGATGAAATTATTGGACGTAGCGGCACGTTTTCTTTATGAATTTTTGTTAATCCATAGCATTTTGCTATAGTTGAATCCGTTTAAGTCAAATCATTATTACGCCAATATTTTTTCAGAAAACAATTGTCATTCCAGTCTTTTAAAATTGTTTTTACGTCTCCTTGTAATTTTTTCAGAGGTTTGATTAAACTTTGATATAAGTGATATTTTCTGCTAATAAAGTATTCATTTTTTCTAAATATTCTTTTTCTGACATGACTACTGTGGCATTACCTTTGTCTGCGTTTGTAAACATAATGTCTGGATACGTTTTCAAAAATTGTTTTGTTGATTTTATTTTTTTGTTAAATTTTTTTTGTTGAATAGATATGTTTTTTGTTTTTATTAGCTGTTTCTAATATTCTCGTTATTTTACTGCGGATATCTTGTTTTTCATAAGTCGTTTTTATGTAGTCAATAGCCCTTCTACATTTTGTATAGTAGTTAAAATTTATGATTTATAAACTTCAGTGGAGTAACAAAATTTTGGACCAAGTGAAATTGTTTGATCCACTTCTTTAGCAAAATTAATGTTTGTTAAATTTGGTATCCAACTTTGGTAACAAGTGAATTTATGTTGTTTCTTGTTATGATTCTTTGACATCAATTTCTGGAACTCCATTTTGTGCGATAAGTCAAGTTTTTTCTAAATTTGCTCATGTTTAATTCAGTCATGTAGAAATAATAATCTAAAATTTTATTGTCAATTTTTTATTTCCTTAATAAGGACGTGGTTTTGTCTAATTGTTTTTCCAAAAATTTAATATGTCTGTTTATATCTTGTATTTTAATTTTTAAGATTTTTGTTGCTAGAGTTAACAGAATTTTATTAAATTCATTTTTGGAATGTCTATTTACGAGAGATATAATCTTTAATGTTGTGATATTGTGACAGGGCTAATAGCGATGCTCGCTAGCCCTGTGCGCGGCACTTTCCTCGCACGTAGAGCCTACGTATGATAGTATATATATGATACGTAGAGATAGTATGTAGCGGCCGAGCGTGGCTATGATTGACATATAGCATTCATGCGCTCGTGTCGTTGCAGGGCCTGGAGAGGGGAGAGCGCGGCTAGCGGAGAAGACGACGCGAGAAAGAGCAAGAGCGCGAAGAGCGTGAGAGAGAAGAAGAGGAATAAGCGAGAAGGCGGAAAGCGCGGCTAGTATCGCGAGAATTAAGAGAGCGGAAACAAGTATTGAAGGCAGTTGAGGAGTGACCGTACGCTATTGAAGTCACGGCGCGAAGTGAGCACATTTGCTGACCTCTTCAGGCTTTATTAATAGAAAAACAACAAATTATTGACAATTGACGAATCGTTGCTGAATATAATTAAAATTAAGTGATTTTCCATCTATCACTATTTCCCTTCTTTCCATCATTACAAAATTTATCATTTTAAAAAATCATAAGGGAATCAAGACAGTATGTTACATTTATAAATATTACATTGAATACGATTAAAAAGTATTTATGTAATTAAAATTTGTATTTATTACATATGATTCAGCTTGTTCATTTTTCTTTATGTGTATGTGTTCCTGCTGAATCGGGAATAGGGATATTGAAATCTATTAAAAAAGATTGCAATCAATTTTAAATTAGAATCTGAAATGCCTTAAATTGCAATTGTAACGGATTGCTTTCAATAATGTTGTCAATCGCATTTAATTGTATATTTTCAAGTTCAGTCAATCCATTTTTATATAATTTTGTTGATATTGAATGATATTCAGTCGATTTCAATAGTCAAATTCACGACTTAAATATATACTCATTGTCAATCAATTTGAATCCATTTTAATTATTTTTATTAATCTTAATCTTTTTTTATCGTTTAGTATACTTTTTACATAAACTTTCAAGTTTTTCCGCATCATCAATTTAAAATATCAAAATTAATGTAAAGTTTGATTTTCCCATTAATCTAGTGTAACGGGTAGATAACCGTCGTATTATTTATGCGCGCGATTGCATCGAAGAGCGCGCGGGATTATCTCAACGTTCAAATTCGAAAACCGGAGAGCAGGAGGGAACGGGCGTCAGTCAACCAACTTTCTACTGTCGTGAAATAATAACATCGAAATTACAGTCAAAATCGTATGCGAGATCGTTTATTACCTCTTATTTCTACAATGTATTCGGCTCGCGTGTTTATGTTTACAAAACGCGCGCGCGACAATAACATGCAGTGTCGGATCGCTCGCCGCCCTTTATTCGCCGGGTTAATACATGCACGCTTCTTATGGAGTACGAGAGATTAATTATTAGCAATTATATAGCAATCGCGAAATTAAGCTGGTCAGCTTACCTGATTAGTAGTCGCACGGTGAACGAGAGAGAAAGTTCGCACTCTAATTTCGGGAAAACCTGTCTTTGTCACGAGGTATCTGGCGTTTTTGGTTTCGCCGTCGATGGCGAAACCCTTCACTCACGCACACTAGCACGCACTCGATCTGGTTTGGATCAGGCACCGATTCTCTCGATGTATTTAGTTGACTCGGCTTAGCACTCCAAGAAAACTCGGGAAAACTCGAATTAATATCTGCTGCAGCTGAGAGTGCAGGTTCTAATCTTCGACTGGTTGATTTTCATACGCCCGCGCTCCGTCCCGTTGCGTGCCGAATTCCCTCATTACATTTGCCCCAACCAGTAGGCAGCCGCATGGTTGGGCTGTTAGCGCTAATAAGACGGTTACCGTCACACCAGATAATATTAATCGATAATTTTCGTGAAAGTCGATTGAGAAGAGCAAAATTACTTGAATTATTTATGTAATGTCAATGTAACAATATATTTTTATTATTACATTAACTTTAATTTTGATAATTTCAATTGACAAGACGGAGAAACGTATATGTTATGTGATAAAATATACAAAATGACAAAAAAGGAATGAAAACTAATAAAAAAGATAAAGATATAATCACAATTATTTTCACTGAATCAATATTTAATATAAATGTAATCTATTAAAATTTTCTTTTAAATTGATTTTAATTTTGCGAAAGATGAATAGCCCTAATCATTCAAGTCGAAGACTTTGAGGCCATATTTTTAAAATGGTAAGGATGTCGAACCGATGCTCAAAAAACTCGAATATAAAAATTACATGCCACTCGTAGTGATTGACTGTTCGAAACAAAACGAATCATTAAAGACCGCTCCAGTAGATTTGAGCTTGGAGTCCGAATACAGAGAAAATATTCCCGATGGAACTACAGCGTATTGTCCTATTTTCCAACAAAAAGTCCTGCCTAGCCTTGGAGATGAGCTCGTATATGCTCAGTCGATTATCTGGAATCAAAAGGAGATCCTTTTCTAGTAAAAAATTGAATGGACGCCCAGTCAGAATGTGCGCCGGAGTTATCGCAAGCGAATCGTTGGGATCGGCGGAAATTGCGTACAATGGTCGCGAATTTAGAACAGTAGTAAGTAATGTATCGAGTTGCTCATACGTGAGCTTTTGACCGTTAATGACACGGTTTAAATGGTGTTTAAAACTTTTGACTGCGGCTTCCCACAGTCCACCGAAATGTGGAGAGATAGGTGGATTGAAATCCCATTTGATTCGTTCGGAAATGGCGTACTGCTGAACAGAATCTTCAAACTTGGGTGTGGAATGGAATTCGTAAATCTTTCGAAGTTCGTTATTGGCTTCTACAAAGTTTGTTCCATTATCAGAGTATACAGTTTGAGGCTTGCCTCGTATACTGATAAATCTACGGAAACATGCGAGAAACTCTTCAGTAGAAAGGCCGGAAGCTAGCTCGATGTGAACAGCTTCGGAGGCCATGCAAACAAAGACACATCCGTATGCCTTCAAGAAACTTCGATTTTTCTCTTTCTTTTCTTTAATTAGAATTGGACCAAAGAAATCTACGCCTACCTTGTTAAATGCGAAGCCAGGAGTTACGCGAGATTCTGGCAAGTCTGCCATCTTAGCGTGAGGAAATTTTGGCCTTTGCTTAATACATGGGACGCAGCGATGTATTATATGCCTAATCTGATTTCTACCATTAAGTATCCAAAATCTTTCGCGTACGGTGTAGAGAGTGGATTGAATTCCACCGTGCAAAGTTCGATTGTGAGCGTCGCGAATGTGAGATCCGACACGTGATGGTTGCTAGGAAGTAAGATCGGATACTTTTGATTAAAAAGAAGATCGGATCTCTTCAAGCGGCCGCCCACTCGAATCAAACTGTTATTATCGAGAAAAGGATTGAGTTCGTCGAATTTCGTTCGACTCTTAAAAGAAACTACAGCTTTCTTTGGGTTTTTGTCTCCCTCTCGTTTGAGCGATTTAATTTCGGGTTCGAAACTTTCTTTCTGGATTAGTAGAAGAACGAGATGCTCAGCGTTATCTATCTCGGCAGGGGATAGATAACGAATTCCCCGTACTGACCTATCAGTACTAGGAGTGTCGTTTGGAAGTTTCTTACCCCTCCACCGAAGACAATACGCTACCGACCGAATAAGGGTACCGTAATCGGAAAATCGAGAGTAAATTGTGCTTCCAGCCGCAGCTGTGAATAAAACGATTCCTTCTTTAAAACCTGTTAGGTTACTTGGATGGGTGGACGGCGACTGAGGCCATTTGTCTTCAGAAGAAGATAACCACGGAGGGCCCGACTTCCAGAGGGAGTTGTTTATCAAATCGGTTGGCAGTTGTCCTCGAGACAACGGGTCAGCTGGGTTATCCTTTGAACGGATGTGTCTCCATTCAACGCCATTACCTAATTTTTGAATATCCGCTACTCTATTGCTCTCGTATGTTTGTAACATATGAGGTGCCCTTTTTAACCAGCAAAGAACAATTGTTGAATCTGACCAGAATAATACCCGCTGAACTGGAGACACCAGCCGATCCCTTGACTCTACGTACAACTTCTTCAGAAGCGCGGCACCAGCTAGTTCCAATCTTGGAATGGTCTGATGGCTCATTGAAGCGATTTTTGATTCGCTACAAGCTAATCGGATAGTGATATTTCCGAATGAATCGGAAGAGCGGATGAAAAGGCAAGCGCCATATCCATTTAGAGAGGCATCACAAAATCCGTGGATTTCGACCGAGACTGGATTATCGCATCGCAAATATCTTGGGATCTCTAGTAATTCCAAATCGGAAAGCTGGTTGGCTAATTGAATCCATCTTGTATGGATGTTTTGAGGAAGGGATTCGTCCCACGTAATCTTTGCCTTCCAACAGTCCTGGATTAGAATCTTTGTATAGAGTATCAAGGGGCCTAGCAAACCTAAAGGATCGAAAATTCTCGCTATTTGTGACACGAGTTTCCTTTTGGTAGAAACCGATTGTGGATTTTCGGCGTTAACGACGAAAGAAAGGACATCCCTTACTGTATCCCAAACGCTTCCAAGGGTCTTTTTTACAGGGTTTCCTTGGATTCCGCAATCTAAATCGAATATTCTTTTTTCGATGTTATCTAAAGCTGAGGGATGGTTAGATGCCCATTGACGAATGACGAATCTTCCGCGACCCAAGAGTTGTATCATCTCGTCGTGGATTGCTTGAATTTCTTCCAAAGAATCCGCGCCTGAGATGAAATCGTCGACGTAGAAGTCTTTACGAAGCAGCTTAGCTGCTCTTGGGAAATCGACCTCTTCGTCGGATGCCAACTGATGTAGCGTTCGAATTGCTAGGAATGGAGCACATCTTACTCCGAAAGTTACGACATTGATGATGAATGTTCGAATTTTACCTTCGTGGTACCACAAGATTTTTTGGAATTTCCTATCATCTGGATGAATCCATATCTGCCGATACATTTTCTCTATGTCCGCAGTTATAACGAAAGGATGATCACGGAAACGCAAGCTTTGTTGAGGAATGGTCGCCTGCATGGTAGGCCCAGTCAACAAGATCTTGTTGAGTGAAGTGCCATTCTTAGAGTCCGCAGATGTGTCGAACACAACCCTGCATTTCGTCGTGTCACTGGATTCTTTGATTACAGCATGATGAGGCATAAAATAGCCGTCATCGGAATCGTCATCACACAACGTCATGTGACCTAATTCCAAATAACTATTAATTTCTTTCTCATATTGAGCTCGGAAATCTGGATTAGTTTCAAACTTGCGTTCTAATGCTTTGAGTCGCTTTAAGGCTCTTTGTTTAGAAGAACCTAATTCAAATTTCTCGGCCCTAAATGGTAGCCTAACTGTATAACGCCCTGAACTATCACGAGTAGTCGTCTCAACGTAATACCTTTCACACGCTATATCCTCGTCAGCCTTGACTGGCTGATAGTCGAGGTCTTCCATAGCCATGAATCTTTCGAGTAACTGATCTAACCTCACCACGTTACAAGAAACGACCTTAGACGGTGTTATCAATCCTCCGGCTGCTATCCAACCGAAAGATGTTTTCTGAAGAATGATTTGAGAATTTTCCGATTTCAATTTGATTTGACCTACCGCGAGAGAAGACATAGTCGGACCCGAAGCTAATAAGATATCAACGGACCTTGGCTCATGAAACTGAGGATCAGCTAGCTTAATGTTTTTTGGGATTTTAAACCCATCTCGAGGAAACGTTTCATTAGGCACCTTGCTCGCGATTTTTGGAACAATCAAAAAGTTTAATTGGAATTTAGTGTTATTGTATGTGGAATAAAAAGTGGCTTGTGTGTATTTTTCCGAAACAGTGCTCGCATCGTCAACTGCTCCGATATTCACGAAACATTGTTTTGTTGGAAGCTTTAAGTGATTGAGAAAAGATTGAGTCATTAAGTTTACGTTAGAACAAGAATCTAACAATGCTCGGGCCATGAGACGGTTTCCTCGATTGTCCTGAAAACTCACAACTACAGTAGTCATGAGCTGAGAATCGGGCGAATACCCGCTGGAAAAGTAAGATTGGCAGATGCCTGGTCATAAGGATTTCGGAGAGTCCGTTTCCTTAGACGATTGTGAGTTGACTTCTGTGGAGTCCTTGGAATTCTTGTGAGGATGAAGGAGCGTGTAATGAGCTTTGTTGCACCCCTTTTCCCTACATCTATTTTTACTAGTGCAAGGAACAGGATGAACATATAAGCAATTACGACACAACTTATGGGTGTTGACAAGCTTCCACTTAGCCTTTAGCTCAGCGGCCTTAAATGCATCGCAAGCGTAAAGCCTGTGGGATTGACCACGCTGAAGACACGAGTCGATGGATGAGGAAGACGAAGTAAGGAGAGAACGAGCGGCAGTCTTGGTTACCTTCGATGGATAAGCTGCGTTGCTATTTGCTGCTCTCTTTGCGGCATTTTTCCTAGAAGGCAGCTCGTCCATCTCGCGCTGCTTGAATACGGAATCCTGAACGAACTCGCACAATTTCGAGAACTCGGACAGCTTGTTGCTCGATTGTCGATCGACCCATCGTGACAAGATTCCCGCGGGCAGACATCTCTCGAGAATACGAGCTACGAGTTGTTCACCTATGTTGATCTCCATTGCTTCCAACATACTAACGTGCTGGCGAACCGTGTACATTAATTCGGCGGTTGTTTCAGCAGTAGGTTTCGCGTGAGGGGACAAATTCAAGAGAGCATCGAGGTGATCGTTGGCGATCACTCGTCGCTGGTCGTAAGCGTTGCATAAATCTGTCCACGCTAAGGGATAATTCTCGTCGGTAGCCTCGTACCGACTGATGACCTTTTGAGCTAAGCCTGAGACTGACGATTGTAATTGAGATAATTTAACGCTAGGCGCCATCCCAGGACGTTCGTGGATCAGTGCTTTGAAACTTGATTTCCACGAAACCCAATTTTTGGAACTGCCGTCAAAATTGGGAACTTGAATCGCCGCGATTTTGGCCACGGTAGTTTTCTCGGCAAACGAGAATGACGAGTTTAGCGCCGTAGAATTCGCGAGCGGATTGGGTGCGGCGTTTTTATTCAATTTGTTAACTTCCGCCGCGACCGTGTAATATTTGATGTCGAGATCGATGAACTTTGCAGTGTTCGGATGATCGGGGTCGAGTCGCTTCAACTCTTCGTGGTTTTTCGAGTACTCGGCGAAAATATATGCAAGATCCGACGCTCGCATTTCCAGGACGGTTACGTCCGGCGAACCTTGCTTAAGGATCGCGTCAAGTGTGTTAATAGAGCGTTCCAACTCGTTGAAACTTTGCTCCAATTGCATTATGCGCTGTTCAGTATCCATTTTGATTTAGTGAATTGCAGTAATTTTAATTGAGAAATGAATTTAATTTACTGCTGAACAACGCACAAGTTGCAAGTGAGATTTGTTATTTTGAACGTAAACGCTCGTCGACGCACACAGACAGTAATTTGCGTGAACGTGCGTTTAATAAACCGAGAAAGAAAAGGTGACTTATCTTTTATTCGCCTGAATGGGGTAGACGGCTGGGTGCAAGTCCCCCCTGGTCGGAAGCAATGGCAAAGCTCGTCGATGTTGCTACACTCGTTGTCCAGTGATGGGCTGTCAGCGAGCGCTGCTACACGCGTGCACTGCAATCTTTTAGCGCTGTTGCCCGCGTGTGCCGCAGAGAGTCTGTCGGCGCTGTTGTAGCTGTCGTTCGCGCGCGTTGGGCGGAGCCTGTCGGCGCTGTTGTGCGCGTTGGCCGCAGAGCGTCTGTCGGCGCTGTTGCGGCTGTCGTTGGCGCGCGTGGTATGGGCGGATGTCAGAGAGAGAGGGCGAAATGGCGCGAAACACTGATATCGCGCGTGAATTCTCGTGCGCTTTCTCTCGCACACACTCACACTTTCACTCGCGCGACGTCACCCTCGACGAATTTGATTAGAGGCAGAATTTCTACCTCACAGGAGGCACCATGTATTGTTGTGACCTTTTATTATAATATAAAGAAGTCCAGTTTATAAGAGAATGGGAAATGATTTTCATTTATTTATTATTTAGTTTTTAGTTAATACGACTGTCGGAAACTGCGTGATTAGTAATCACCGCTCGCGGCATCATTCGTATGGTTTTAATTAATTTTACACTGATTCTAATTAATTGATTGGTTAACAAAATGAAACACTGATTTGAGGGAAAAAAGCCGTGAGGCATAAAAAAACCCTTTTTATTTACACTCGAGGAAATTACAAGATAGGAAAGTTGAGAGAACTCGCGAAAATGACGTCGCACCGAGAACAATAGCCGCTGCTACGCACGCACGCACGTGTCACACACACAATGATTTGATGCTTGTTTTAGTGAAAACAAGGATAGATGATAGATGATGATGAATCACTTTCGTGATGATCGGAAGCCCGTTCAACTTCCGAACGATGTTAGTTTTGCATAGTGATGCAAAGATATAGATGTTATCGCGAGAAGTGTCTCGAGAACGCGGAGGAGCTCCGTACGTGACGCTAAGTAGTCGACTACTGCCGGCTTGGCCAGAAGAAGAGAGTCGTTTCGACTCGAGCGGCGCCGCACCGGTAGGTGCTGCCACCGCGCTAGGATTAGGGGCCCTAGTGCCCGATACTCACACACACGCACACACATGTCTACGCGCGCGAGTATTAGTAATTATGTACATGGTAGTGTCGCGACGCTACACACAGATCATCGATAGCTGTATCTGCTTGGAGTTTTAATAAAGTTTTTAGAGAAATAAACCCGTTCAATTATTAGCAAAAATCTCGCGCAGTTTTTCTACTTAGTTTTATGTATTTTTTAGATAGTATAAATTAAGAAGAAGGCATTCATATTTTTTTTTCAAGATAGATTTTCCACCGCACATGCGCAATGATACGTTAATTTGAATATCTAATCTACCATATGAAAATCTTTTTTTTCTCTATTTTTAGAGAGGGTACAAATTCCAAAAAAGCATTTTTCTGATGGTACAAATAAAAATGGAACTAGTGGTATTTTTTTTTTTTTTTTTTTAAGATATCAATCATTTTTCTGCTGGGAGTATGAGTTTTCCAAAATAACGGTCTTTCCGCTTTTTTTCACAATTTTGGGGGATACAAATTCCAAAAAAGTAATTTTCGGGTGGTTCAAAGCTAATGGTATATATATTTTTTAAATCAATTATTTTTCTGCCAGAGTCGATTCGATCTACAGACGGTTTGATCAATGTTCATCTTTTTTAAATTGGAATATTTTATCACCGCTTAGAACTCACTTTTTCCATTATTAACTAGAAAAAAAGTTGTTTACTTTGATTGACGATAAAAACGGAACTACTCGATGGATCTGGCTGAAACTTCGGCAGCACTCTATTTAATACTGACGCTTACTGGTGCAAGATATCTTGGGATACTTTGAGCACCATCGCTTGGATTTTTTAAAAACTTATTGATCCATCCTCGTATGTCATTCCATAATACCGCCATGAAAGCATTTTTTAATTTAATATTATTTAATAGTGTCGAAATTTCTTCTCGTACTTTCATTTTTTGATCCTTGTCATTAGATAAAATTTTTAAAGCTATACTATCAAAGTTATCGTGCAAAACTTTTGTAGCATCTTTTCGACATGACCATCTTGTTTAACTCAAGCTTTTAATTCTAGAATCAGAATTTTGTTTCATAAAAATAGCCCATTGATTAGTCGAAATTGTAAAAAAACGTACATTAAAAAAAACGCCAAAGCTTCGACACTGAATTTTCCCACTAAATTCAGTGAATGGCCGGCGCCAAGGACGTAAAAAGATTACTCATTTTATTCTTGATACATGCTTGGATGCTCTTTAAATTTACCAGACATATTTTTACCATTGTCATAAGTCTGCGCTCGGCAATTAAGAATTTTAATTTTATATGATTCTAATATATCTGAAACATCATTGCTGAGTGACGTACCCATGTGACTTTGAATTTGTAAAACAGCAAAAACGTTCATAGACGTAGCTATTTAAATAATCCGAAACACCATAGATAACCGGTCAACATTAGAATTATCTGGAGTTGAATCGAGAATAAGTCCCCAATATTTTAAGCTATGTAATAGACGCGAATTCGCTTCTATTACAATAGGTAACCGGTCAACATTAGAATTATCTGGAGTTAAATCGAGAATAAGTCCCCAATATTTTAAGCTATGTAATAGACGCGAATTCGCTTCACACGAATACGCCCTGTAGAATGTAGGCCTTTTTAACAGCCAAGCGGTCTCGGATTCGGGCGGTTTTCAAGCTTCACGGGCACCCCGACCTGTTCGTGCTTTGATTTGTAAGCTATTTTATTATACGAGCACCGTGCGATCCTGATCAAGATTTATAGACTTTATTATTTTCTTATATTATTTTATTATTTTATTATTTTATTATTTTATTATTTTATTATGATCTTATTATATTTATTATTTTATTATAAGACCAAAGCTGCTTAATAACGTATACCAAAATCTTTAGTCACAAGAGGGAACGGATACAGACTCAATAAATAGAGAAACACGTATCGTAAAGTTAAAGTTTCTCGTTTCATTATACGGGAACAATATATAAGAAAAACCAAAATCTTTATTGTTTTAATAATTTAAAACTAGGAGGTCCGAATCAGTTAATAATTAATAATTTCATACGTACAAATACGTGCATAACACTCAGTTCCTAGCTATACGCGATATTAATAAGACTCCAAGAGAGAGAGAAAGATAGATTAAATTTTGCCGTGCAAAATCTATTACAAAAAACAATAAATAGATACTCACTTTCTAATTAAAATTTCCACTATTGGTAGTTCTACTATTGGTAATAAGTGTATATATTTTATATTTATCAATCAAAAGTGTCCTTTTTCCACAAGTCCAATATCTATAAATATATACGTGTCCCATTTTAAAGGAATTACCCCGAAATTTTCGACGGTTGGCGTTGTACCAAAAAATTGTTCAGACAATAGTTGTTTGGGACAATGAGGGCAACCTTTCTGTGAAATCCGATTTGACCTTAACATACATTTTCAAGGTCATTTGAAGGTCAAAGTTATTTTTTGAATAGGAACCCATATTTTTGAACCCGGATTAGGAAAGAGCGGAAATTCTACGTTTAGATAACGTATTATGTGTGGGGTGCGGTTATCTCCCTCTCCCCGCCTAAGATCATGTAGGGGTCAAATTTATGATTTTCTTCATCTATGCACAGGGATGATCGGGCAAGAGTAAGGTTAACTATAATAACCCAATAACTCAAATACCCAATAACTCGATAACCCCAATATAACCCCAATAACCCAATAACCAAGAGATATTTTGAATAAGGACCCCCATTTTTTATCCCGGATTCGAATAGAGCGGGAATTTCTACGTTTAGATAAAGTATTATGTTGGGGGAGCGTTTCACCCTCCCCCATCCCACTGTGGCAAGGGTGAGGTTAATAAGGTTTTGATTACTCAAGCAGTGAAGGCAAGGTATTGATTACCCAGCCAATGAAGGTAAGGTATCGATTACCCAGTCAATGAAGGCAAGGTATTGATTACCCAGCTAGTGAAGGCAAGGTGGGAATGCTCAGCCGATCAAGACAAGATGTTGACTACAGATAGAGTTATGATCAAGATTGTAGCACAAACATTTATCTCATAAGATGTTCAAAAATACCTCCGTTCAAATTTATACAGTGTTGAATTCCACATTCAAAATTTTCAACTGTGGACATCAAAACGTGACGCGGAATAGTTCTGCAAGCTTGTATGATGCGTTGCATCATATCTTGCCGTGTTGTTGGTTGCTGTGCATAAACAACATTTTTCAAATAGCCCCATAAAAAGAAATCTGGACTTGTCAGATCTGGTGATCTTGGACACCACTCAGTAATGTCACTACCAATGCCTATCCATCGTCTTCGGTATCGTTGGTTCAAGAAGTGACGAACCATTAGTGAGCGATGACACGGTGCGCCATCCTGTTGAAGCCATAATCGTCTTCTGGTTTCCAAATCCACATCTTCCAATAATTCTGGTAATTCATTCTACCGGAAATCAAGATATGTTGCACCGATGACATTCCCATCGAAAAAATAAGGTCCTATCAGATAACCATTTATTATACCGCACCAAACTACAAGGCTCCATCTATGCTGATTATCAACATGTCGTACCCAATGAGGGTTCTGGGTAGACCAATAATGACTCTTATGGTGATTGAGTTGCCCATTACCATGAAATGTAGCTTCTACCGAAAACATGACGTATCTGAAAAATTCAAGATCTTCACGAATCCTTGCTTGTGCCTAATTGCAGAATT